TCAATATATTTTTAAATAATGTCAATTTAATTCTTTTTAAAAAGTAAATTCCTGCTGCGCTACAAATCGAACAAATTCAATTTCACATTATAAATCGCCATAATATGTTTTCAATTATTCAATTAAGATTATTTTTTAAAGAACAATATAAAAAATTCGCCATATAATCAAAGTAATACATAGGAGTTAAATTAGATCCTTTTTTAAAGAACAATATAAGAAATTCGTCGTATAATCAAAAGAATAAAAAAGATCATTTAATCATTTAAGGGATAAATTTAATTGTTAAAAATTTTTAAGGAATCGATGGTAAATACAATATCATGATATTTTTATTGTGATTAAGCTTATAAGAAAAAAGCTTAATTCGACTGATTTTAAGCTATAAAAGTTTAAATTTTGAATTTTTTCTCTCTCATCTCTCTTTTCTTTCTCTTTCTCTTAATTTTTTACTTTCACCATGTCCCAACAAGAAAAAAAAAAAATTACTAAAGTTTATAAATATCTGTCTGAAATTACTCCTGCTGCCACTGCAGCCACCACTAGCAAAAGCGCTTCTGAAATTCCTCCTGATGCTACCACTAGCAACGAAACTACTCCTGCGCCTGCTACCACTAGCAAATCGACCATTACTTCAAAATCAAAAGTTCAGCATATGAAAGAACAATATAAAAATTTTAAGGTTCCAGATTCCTATTTAGAAAAGCAAAAGGAACTTCGCCATAATTTAGATTTTTATGATGATAATCCATCTTTGGAAACTGGTATAATTGTAACAAAATTGCTAAAATTGGTTGCTGTTTTGGTTGCTTTACATTGAAAGTTTGTTTGTTTCCGAATTTGGTTAATAAATTTTAGAAAATCATAAATTACGTGCGATAATAGCCGATTTGCTTAATAAAAATATTAAGTTGGAGAAAACAAACGTAGATATTTTTAAGGAATTAAAAAGCTTAAAAGAGGATTTCAGTACGCTTATGGAAATTAACGATGCATTCGGTACAGAAAAT